GCCTTCCCATGCAGCCTTCCCATGCAGCCTTCCCATGCAGCCTTCCCATGCAGCCTTCCCATGCAGCAGGGACCTGGTCCCTACCTCAGACGGCTCTCCCTGCCCCCTCTGGCCACTGGGATTCCTGCGCTGGGGCAGGGGCCTCTCCTGCCGGACCCGCAGGCAGTGTGCCCGGAAAAGGCCACCAGGGCCACGGCTGCCTACAGGGCCGTTGCTGGGCGCCGCTGAGCCCTGGCAGGCCGCAGGGCCCCGGGAGGCTCGAGGCCAGCGGGCAGCTCAGGGGGCCAAAGTCCGCGGGGCCGCTCCGCCCCGAGCGGGGCCTTTGCGGGGGGGTACGGAGGACACACCCACTGCCCCCCACCCCCGTTTTCCGCCGGTTTTCCCCGGGGGCCACCTCGGGAGTCGATGGGGATGCAGGGGAAAGGACTGGGCTTCGTCCCCCCCGGCAGGCGCCACCCGAGCCCGCGCAGACCGGGCTGCACAACCGGCCTCGCCCCCCCACCGCCCCCTACCCACCACAGGACACTGCGGCGAACACCCCTCCTCCCGCCTCAACCTCTCTGCCATCATCCCCTGACGCAGGGCTCCCTGTTTCGCGCGGGCCGCGGCGGCTCCACCAGCCTTCCGTTAGCCCGAGCTCCCCTCTCCCTCTGCTTCAGCCCCCGGTAACTGCAAGGACGAGAGGAAAAGGAGGGAGGTAAAAAGGGAAGAAGAAAAGAAACCAAGCGGGAAAACCGCCTGCGTCACTTACAGCTGAGGAAAAAAGCGAGCGAGCCCCTGAGCACCCTGCGCACACAAACAAAATGGCGGCGGCTGCTCGGCGCTGAGGAGCCTCTTCCTCCCTCTCCTCCTCCCTCGGCCGGACGTCGTGCGCAGTGACGTCACACAACGTCGCGGGGGGAGGGTGCGTCCGAAAAGCGCCCCCTAGCGGGGATTTGGGGGGGGGGGGGGGTCGAGGGAGACTCCGCCGGGGCTGGGGTAGGCGGAGCCCTGCCCATAGGGGCGGCGCCTCGGTGTCCTCAGCCCCGCCCCCTTCGGGAGGGCGGGAAAACCGCGGGGCGGCGGGGCCGCGCTGAGGCGCGCGGGGGGAAGGGTAAATGGCGCCGCCCGTGGCGGCCTCCGGGCTCCGATCTGCCACGGGGCTGGAGCGGCCCTAGGGGACCCCGTGGCGGCCCGGGGGGTCAAGCAGCGAGGCCCGGGCTGAGTGCAGAGAGCGGCTGCCCGCTGGGCGGCCGCCATCAGCACACACCTCCCACCACACCGGCACCATCAATTAGTTCCTTGCAATAAACTAGCCCAGCGCCCCGTTCAAGTAGTTCCATGTGGGGATTGATTGATGCCGCCATTAGGCCCGGCTTGGCAATCACACTTGAGTCTTGAGAGTAGCTATCAGGCTGGTCCCAGGGGAGCACTCACAGGCTCTCCAGGGGAATCTAATAACAGGGATCTTGTGTCCTCAGTAGCAAGTGGCAGCCGCCCCGTCCATCCTCCCTGAGTAACCGGGATGTGACCGGGAAGAGGCCGGGCACCTTCCCGGCCAAGCGGCTCCATGTTCCCCAGCGCCGGGGCCGGGAGCCCCTCAGCGGCGCCCGGGCCGCAAGGACCCAGCCGCTCGGCACCGTTCAACACTGCGTTCAGCGTCCTCAGCACTGACTCAATAAGCACAAATAGCTTTTCTTTTGAGAGGAAAAACAAAACAAATGAAGGAAAACTGGAACTAAAACACAGCCTTCCAATCTGTTAATTTACGCTGTCTTATTTGGGGAACCTTTGAAGATTAGTGAGTAAATTAAAAATACCCCAACTCAGAGCCTCTTTCCCAGAATAATTAATAAAAAAAATATATCTCTGATATGGCAAGATTTGGCAACTGAAGCGGAAACGAGATTATCTAAGATGTAGTCTATTTTTTATTGAATGAGTGTTTTTTTCAATGTCCCTCATTTTTTTTTGCAAATAGTACTTTCTAAACATATATATATATGTTCAATTTTGTTTGCCAGTGGCAAATTTTTGCCAGTAAATCTAGATTATACTAGAGTGAAAATCCATTTTCATTTCTTTGAAGAGAAGCGATGTGTGCAGAGTGTTTTTTGTCTCATGATCCTTGACAGGAGATCAAAGCCGTCCTTGACAAACATGACATTGATGCCAGCAGTTTATTATTTCTGTTCTAGCATGGAAAAGGCTGGCTATTATTTGTAAAGATAGTAGTAACATCTGCAGTGTGTTAAGAGTTTTCCCACAACCCAGTGACAGCCCCTGCATGGGGAATTCTCTCGCAACCCAAGCAGCAGGAGAAAAATAAAGAGGGATAAATTGATATAAACAGTGAGCACGAGAGCACATATATACATAGGCTGATGCTGAACAGAATATGGAGAAATAGCTTAAAGCAGGAAGATTTTCTCTGATAGAAGCGGTGAAAATAACTGTTGTTCCTTATGGGGACACGATATGCATAAACATAGCAAAGTTTTATCATTTTCAGACAGAGGTTTTCAGCTGAACCAATGGCAAATAAAGAGGTAAATCTGTCGGAAGTTAGGAATATTTCATTGTTCATTTTGAACCTCCTTGAAAATAGTAAAGTGGTGTATAAACGTTGAGCCTTTTTCACATCAAACAAATATAAATTGAAAAAAACTTTGCCCTGAAGCAAAAATATGACAACATATTCTACTGAAAATATCCTGTACGGCCAGATTACAAAGCAGAGTTTCACACAGTGCTCTGCATGTGCCAAATACAATCCAGTGCTTTCCAAAATACCTCTGTAGACATTAAAAAGAATAGCAGAAATAACAGTGATTAATTTTCCCTCTGTTCAGAAGGTGGCAGTGGAGACCCAGCAGGAGGGAGTTCTCAGGGCTGCTGGAATTTAGGGGCTATCTCTGAAGGGGATAAAAGCTGGAGAAATTCTGGACACGACTGTGCTATGTAGCAAATAAAGTATTAGCCCCTCCAGAAATGGCTCTTTTTAAGATAGGAATGATCTTACAGTAAAGAATTAAATTAGGTGAATTTCTGTCTTTACAGACCTGGGAAGGAAACTCCTTTGAATTATAGCTATTTTTGTTCTTAAACCTATTTACTTTTGTTTATACCAGATATTTCCACGTTTAATTAGACTATGTAACACCAAGTACATGCACAACTTGAAGAAATAACACAAAATATAACCACATTTTAGATGGCTTTGAAAAAGTCAAGTATGAGAGTTTGAAATTCAGCACAATTGTGGTATAATTTTCTGCCTTTATGAAAAGCTGGGTTCAAAACCTCTGCCTCAGAGCGCAGTTTTTGGTTCCTCCTTTGAGTGCTTCACACTATTTGGTGACTCGGCCTCTCAGCAGTGACTCAGGAGCAAATCCCAGTTAGTTTTCCCGTGGTTCCGACACAAAATGTAAAGCAAGGCTCATCTGCCTTGCCCAAAGCCTCAGGAAAGACTCAGCAGCGGAGCCACCAAGGCCTGGCTTTGGGTGCCCGCAGCACGTGCTGCCTCTCACTTAAACCTGTGCCGGGTTTGTGTTCTGCCCTCCGGTTACCCTGGGAGCTGCTGGTCGGTCCTCGCGCTCGGCGGCCTCTCTTTGGGTTTCTGCCATCCTTGGGTCGGTCTCACACGGACAGGGAGGCTGCCCCGACCTTGGCCCCTGCTCTGCTGCAGCTTCGGCTTCGCTGCCTCCCTGCTCGTGGCACAGAGGAGTCCTGGGAGGAACGAGAGGCTTCAGGCCGGGGGTCTCTGCAGGTTTGTCACAAGCAGGCCGAGCCATTCGGGCCAACATTTTATGGGAATTCAGCTGGATGACCCAGCAGTCCCTTTTGGCAACAGCTCTGAGACCATGAATAAGAACATTGTCCTGCAAAAAGCAGGTTGCACATGGAAATTTTGCAGGCTTTGGAGACAGTGCTATTCGCTGGCCATAATTACTCACTGGTTTGAGGGCAGAGCGCACCAGGCCGGGCACAGCAACAGTCCCACGCTCGGGGCAGCGCCGCGGAGCAGCCACCTCTGCGCCTTACATAAAGCAAACCCAACATCACCTCTGCGCCTTCTTTTTTCCCCCCTTTTTTCATCATTTATATTTTAAGCTATCTGAAGCACGGATGTTTCTTGCTACACGTGGTTACTGAAGTGGGTCCCTCCTATCGGGCAAAGCCCTCAGGTCACTGCAATACGAATAAAAGAACACTGGTTATACCACACAGTTTCACAGGCCCGTCTTATTTCTCTCTAGAGAAAGCTCTGAGTCTGAAACACCTATTTGGGAAAACATTTAATTATGGGAACTCTTGTACAGTGCAGGGAAATCTGAATGTACAAGGATGAAGAGAACAGGAATAAAGTAGGAACAAGAGCAAAAACAGAAACCAAAGGACGTTTGGGGATCGCTGTTCAGTCAGGGTGTCTCTGTGTTTGGAGTGTCTCAGAGCAACAGGAGCTTCTCTGTAACTCACCTTGTTCATTTGGAGTTGTTGAAATCTCCCCTACAGATAAAGCTGAACAAAACAAACTCTACACTGATGAGCCGTTTTTTATTATTATTATTTGACACTCACATTACAAAATTTAGAAACCATAGACAGTTCAGGCAAACTGTTAAAACACAGTATAAATTAAGGTTTTTAATATATAAATTCTATACATAGGTAAGTTAGCTCAAACATGACTGACAAAAGGATTTCGTAACCACCTTACCACAACGGTATAAAAAGGCATGGGAGCAGGATGGGCACGAGCATCATGAATGCAGCTTAAGACACTTTCCACAACAGCTACCAAGCGAGTCAATGGCCATGCTATTTCTGCGGTGTTTAGGTGGGGTACGGAAGGCGCATTTTACCATCAATGTTTTGCAGGGTCTATGTACAGTCACAAAATCCTAATAGCCACTTTCAAGTAACCGGTTTTCTACCTGTGCAATTAATGAAGTGTCAATATTTGTTTGAGGACTCCTAATTAAAGGATGCTATATGCTTTGAGTATTACGGATGCTGTAGTGATTTCAGTTTGTCCTGAAATTACTATTCGTAATATGAAATAGCTTAATTTAAAGAAAAAGAACCAGGAAAAACACAGCCCCTCTTTACTAAGGCTCACATCATCAGTTTCTATCAGTCTTTAGATCCATACTTCATTTATTTCTCATTTTGACTCATGCTTAAAAATACAATTACAATTCAGCTCCCATTTTTCTAAGCACAGGAGTAAAGAGCATTTGTACCAGCAGAAATGTAAAACTAAAATTCTGGTAAGGTTATAGGGTTTATTTTTGGAATGTAGGTGCTACCCAGGTGATCTGTCACATCTCTCTCAAACTCTGTATTTCTCCATTTGGAAATAAGGGGAATGCTACTCATCATGTCTACCCTAGGCTTCTGGGGCTGTGAATATATGTTTCAATAATATGTTTTTTAGAGCTGGGGTACAAGGTAGCTGGTACTGTCACATTTCATAGAACTTGCTAAAAGTGCAAAAAACTCTTTTTTATTACCTTTATAAATCGATGAAGACTTGGTAAGAGCCAGTAGTTCTGAAACCTGATTTTTTTTTCTCATCGCTTTTTTGCATACCGGCTCTTGTATTTCTTTCTACAGACTGACTCCTATGGGAAATAACTGCACATCTATAAGAATCGTGCCTTGCAATGCCTGATTGTGCTTCTATTTTCCACTAAGTTTTAAGAATTAGGACGATTCAGCGGAAACAATTCCTTCCCCCTGAAGGGGGGTGTACGGGAGGCCGTGACCCAGCCGGAGCTTTGGGAACGCGTCGCCTGCCCAGGCTACAGTCCTGGGTTTCTCAACCACATTTACCTGTGTGCCGGGCACCAAGGGGCCATCCCGTGCTTGGTTACTGCAAACAGAATGGGATTGCAGAAGCATAATTACAGCAGGGATATAATACTGACCGGGTACAGTTCACTGAGGAAGGCATTTCTGTCTGGAAGAAACCGGGACTCTGGAATTTTCTGGACAGAAATGCACCAAAATGGGTGTGCACATTTTAGAAGGGAGTCTCCTGTCCAAGTATTTAACATATAGGAGCTCTGATCTCTCATCTTGATGGTCTTCTGCACTGAGGAAGGGCTGAACATTGTTCTACTGCAGTAGAGCCACTGTGGAGCCACACAGGGCAGGGAAGGTGAAAATTGTCCCGAGAGCATTTTGCAAGAGCTGCTCATGGAGGAAAGCACCACGGAGAGACAGCAAGCGGGAGAGGACGGTCTGAGCCCTCCTGGATTTCGAGCACGGCCGCGCGAGCCCGGCCACGGCGCAGGGCCGAGGACGGGGCCAGAGGGAGCCCTGCAGCACCCGCGGGTACGGCCCGAGGCTGCGGCTTGCACCCGCGGAGGGTGCATGACTTACACGGGCTCTCAGCTCCTAATGCATGGCTTGTATAATAAATAAAAATGCAAGATGTGATGCAAATACAAGCAAGAACTTTTTCAGTATTTTTGCACACGTGAAAATAGGTAAGAGCTCTATTTTTCAGAAGAACAGTAAAAGGACAAAATGCAAAATAAATTTACCTCTAGATGGGTTCCATTAAAAAAACAAGGTAACCTCCTTGCTGGCTCATCTGCTCAGGCTGGGGACTGTCTCTCTACACCGAACAACATGAAAACACAGGCACAGGCACAGATGCAGGTTTCTGCAGCAATATTTCATAGCAAATGCACTGGTATCTTCCATTCTGCTGCCGCGCTGTGCAATATGAAAGTTAACAGCCAACAAGGTATTTTTCATATTTTTTAAAGAGAAATAAAAATCTTAACCCTTTTGAAGGTCAAATCCTGCTCCTAGACACATGATTTAATTCACAGGACCAAACAGAGTCTTTCAGTTCGATGCTGAAATTTCAACAATGCGAAAGAGAACTTGGGCCAAGGCTGCATTCTGCCCCTCTGCAGCCATCTCAGAGCTGCAGCTGCCTCAAAGAAAGGCCAAGCACCACACAGCTGCCAGCGAAACGCAATCCCTGGGACTGTCTTCAAAGGGCTATACAGCGGAGGGCTGCGGGACTGCTCCAAAGCCCGTACAATCCAAGGGGAGTCTGTCCCTGAGCTCGTCCCTGGGCTTGGATCAGTCTCTCTCTGTGCAAGCCGGTCACTTAGGCTGGATAACGTTCCCTGCGCAGTGTTTTCACACTGACAGGCCTAACAATAGCTTTCCCACTAACAGATGTATTCTTTTTTGATAACTGCAATTACATTTTCAGTAATCTGAGTTCTGTTCTAACCTGGATTTACGGTCACGTGCAAACCAATGCTCACGTGCTTTAATAAAAGGCATACAAATCATTGCAGGAAAACATGATAAAGCAGCCCGGGTATTTGTAAGGGACAGGCTTAATTTTAAGAGGGTGATTATCTTATCAGTAATGACGACATAATAAAACATTTTGAGCCGAGAGGGCTACCCTTGGCGTCCCCGGTGCGCGAGGTGCCTCGCGCCACGGCCACGCTTTGTCACGGGGCGGCTGTGGGGACAGAGCCCAGCTCTGCTGGGGGACACGGCGTGGTACCTGCCTGCACACAGAGAGCCCTTTGCTAAGCTCGGCGTCCCCGGGGCCGCGGGGCCCTCGGTGCTGGACTCACTCCAAAGGTTTTGCCAGTGCAAAAAGAAATGGGATCTGGGACCAACCTGCGGCTGGTCGCGCCAGCCCTGGCAGACCCATGCTTAATGATCCCCCCACCTCTAATTAGGTCGTGCGACTGATGCTGATGTAAAACAGAGAGCACTGCTTTCAGGTTATGCATTTTTGAAAGGCATTGAGTGAGTTCATCTACTGACCACAACTCCAGCTGAAGGCACAAGAGTTTCACCATTGCTTTTCACTGGGCTCTGGATCCAGCCCCTGCTGCAGAATGGCGTCCTCAAGAAACAGAAAAGCAGGACCAAGGAGAAGAGCAGGACCAAAGAGAAGAGCAGGACTTCCGCAACTCCTCCATCACAGGAGAGGAGGTGCAGAGAAGGGGTATTTGGTTTTCTGTTACATACCATCAAGGACACAGAAGTTAGGTTAATGCATCTGAAAGGCTCTGTATTACACACTCACGTGTTACTAGCTTAGGGTTTTGCTGCTACACAACAGAATAGTTCTGTTCTGGGTAGTATGAGCTCAAGGAGGCAAATCCACCGGGAACAGCAGTGTTGGAAAGCACAAGACATTCCCATCAGTGAATCATCTACAGCTTGGACTAGGGCTTGGACTAGGCGCCCCACAGGGGCACGTGCTCAGTGTCAAGTGCTACTGCTTTCTGTTGTACATGGGAAGAGTTTTCTCACTTTGTATCTCTTGCAATGTCAATAAAAGACTGTTGGAAAAAAATTCCTTTCCCCAAATTGTCATTCTTTGTCTTCCATTGGATTCTCACTTGGTCTCACCTGCCTGTGCAGCAAGGCTCTGCAGCCCTCTCCCCTCTTCTGGACTCGTCCTCCTTAGTTAGGCCAGATGTGACATGCACTTGGAGCTGGCAGCTGTAATTTACGGCTTGACCTTGTTTCCAGTTTAATCAAGGGGATTTGGGCCACTGACTTATATAAAGACAAGCCACAATTCCTAAAGCCTGATGTTAGAAGGCACTGACTTCTTGTTTTGTTTTGTGCACTCATCTCCAAGCCATCCTGCAAGGTGCAGCCATCATCTCCAAAGATTAAATGCTAAGGATCAATATTCCATGGATCTCTACAGAACAGCGCCTGCTTAGTATCTGCTGAGAGGTGTTCAGGACCTCTGAAAAACAGTCTGTTCAAATGTGCAACTACACAGAGGCTTAAAGATAATTTGGTGCTTTTAAAAGTCCCACTCTGCCCTTAATACCCCTGTAAATCTGACCCACATGCTCCCATTTTAAGCACCAAGGTTTGAGGTTTGGAGTATGAAAATGGCTGAGCTTGCAGCAGTGACAAACTTTATGACATCTAATTTAAATCATACTTATAAAATTGTCTGAATTCACGAAAGGTGCCAAAGAATATAGTTTTTTCATGGGAAATCACATTTGAATTCATGTTCAGTGATGAGTCTTATGGTCTCAGTTGTCCCAACCTCCTCTGGCTCATTAAAAAAGGAGTGAGGATGTGCACTTTAAAAAGCATTTTTTTTTAAAGAAAGGGCCCGACTACCTACAGTGGATTCCGGATAAATAAAAAACCATTTCCACCATGAAGTCACACTGTGCCAGTTAAAAAGATGTTGACATTAAGAAAAATACGACCATTTAGACATGAAGAAAAAATAACACGCATAAGCCTCAGCACTGTTATACAGATGTTCATGGTTATTGCTCTGCATTTGGCTGGAATTTAACAGGCTTTTAACAGTATCATTTTGGAAACGGCTCTGCTTAAAGGAACGCCTGTGTGTATACATCTCTCTGAACAGCTCATGTACAAAAATTAACCAACTGCATAACGACAGCATCGTTACGCTGTATTTGCTCCTTTGCTGGGACAATAAGGTACCTCCTTGCACTTTGTTCTTGGCTTCAGTGAAGGGATGACGTTTTTTGTTCCCCTGGCTTGAACTCATGTTCCTACGTGGTAGACACATATGTCAAGAGGAGCGAAGGCTGCCTCAGGCCCCCACAAACGCATGTTTAGAAGGAGTCCTGCTCGTCTCACCAGCTCATCAGGCACAAACAACTGCTGCGAGGCCTGGCGAAGGACAGCAAGAGTTCCGGTTTTCTGGCTAAATGCATAGGCCATCACAGCTGATTTTCATGATTAGCTTCCCTTTTCAAAACGCAACAGCCATCTAGACTTATTCTCTCTGGAAATAAAGCTATTAAAGATTTCAAAGAAAGGGTTGGGTTTTCTATTGTAGACCAAGAAAGACTGAAACATCTGAAAGGCCAGCATCAAGTCATTAATAAAATGCTGAATTTAGTTCCATTTAAATTCTTGGTGGTCTTTTTGAGGGCAAGTGGGAGCAGCCCTTCCACACACAAACAGTCGACTGTTTGAGCTTAGCTTGGAATCTAATACCCATATAGTCCATTTAAGATATGTGTTCAGATAGCACCACAACCATTGTACAAGTACAAACACAGACATAGTCCCTACCTTCATATCATCTGTAAGGAAATGGTGAACATGGTTTAGTCACTAAAGAGAAAAAGAGAAAAAAAGAAAAATTTGTCATGCATAGCGCTCTGCTTATGCATGACAAATTCCTTAGCTTAGTGCAGTGGTCTCTAGAATGATACTGTCATTTTTAAACTGTATCACATAGTCCCCAAATTTAGAGCTATTACGTAGCCCTTCCTATCCTCCTCTAGCATCGTGTTGCAGAACAAACAGGATTGTATTAACTGCAACCTGATAGATTTTTTTGTTTCTACGATAATGCAATTTCTTTTTCTTTCAGTGTGATAGAGCCCTCTGAGGACCACGTGTCTCAGGACCAGCCGGCTGGGGAACACGTTACATACGTTAGCTAGAGGTGAGCCGAGGCGGGAGACTTTTTCTTCCTCAGCTTCCGGTGTGGTGGCGGGGATTGAAGCCAAACCATCTGCACGCAATGCCCTCAACTCTGCCAAGATTCACAGTAAGAAAAGCAACAGTGGTGGGAAGAAGCAACAGTCACACTGCAAATTGTTCTCTGTAAAAATTCATGGGAGTTGTGTGTCTCTTCCATGCTGATGAGATCCTTGTGTGAGGCATGTCTATATTTATATATATATGTATATATATACACATTTATATGAGCGAGTGATATGAGTTTTCATCCGCTGGAAGCTTATACTTGTTGCAGTCAGTGCATTGCTCAACAAGGCTCGGGGACTGCTCATGTAAGATTAAGTCCTTCTTTCTTCATTCAGCAATTAACCAGATTGCTGCTTTGTCTGAATTAATTTTATAATCCTCAGAGGGTTTAAAGAGATCCGAAGCACCTGCTTCTGAAATAAGCATGTCTATTTTTTGCTTTTTTTAAATACTTTTTCGCTCTTTTTTGCAGTACCATTGTTCTCCATGCTCCTGGTTTTCTTATATTTTCCTTCAGAGGCAACAGTTACAGCGATCCTGATGCAGTTTGGGCACAGCCACAAACACTTTGTCCTTCCTCTGTCTCTTAGCTAGAAAAGCATCTCTGCAAACACAGTTCTGTTCATTTCAGAGGATGAAGCCAGTTCATCCTCTCACGTTAGGCAGTCGGAAAAAAACAACAAAAATCCAAACAAAACAAATTGTCTAAATCCCAAACAGGCATCTTTGGAATCAGTAGTGCAAAATGTTTACGCATTTTTCTTTCCTTGACCTACTGCAATAACCTCTTAATCTTCAAGTCTTTCCTAAAATAGTAGATCTGCAAAGTTAAAACAGAAGAACAACGATAAGAAAAAAACATGTTTTGTTGTTGTTGTTTGTTTCTATTAAATCACTGCTTATATTAGACCAAACTTCCTTACAGTGTCCTTATAAGACAGGTAGACTGTGGGAATATCTGATGAACCTGGGGTATTTTTCATCTGTACAAGGCCTCTTTGGCAGAGAGAGAGAACTGTAAAAATGCACTAGTGGAGAATTTCTTTAAATAGTGGATAACCAGGGATAAACATTAGATTTTATCAGTGCTGCCCCCCGCTCTGTATATAGTTACAAATGGAAAAGGCCTCCATCAGAGGTCACATTTTAAGTGCCAGCATTTTACAAGCGTCCAGCCCAGCTAAGAGATCCCCTGACCATCGGTGCGACACTCTGGAGGGACTTTAGGAGAGAGCTGATGAAATAAGTGGTTACCTTAAGGATTTCCACCTGTCTTTTTCAGTCTGGTTTTCTGGACTTTCGCTTTCATAGGAAGCCAGGTACAAACCTGGGAATGACAAAGATGTGTTATTTCAACAGGGCCATAACCCCTCTGTTCTTTGCTCTCTTGTAGGCCCCAGGGATTTTGTCCTTGCTACTGTCCCACGCAATAAACTGAATCTTTAAAACCTCTGTGTTCCATCAGGTAGCTGCAGTGAGCAGGGCACTTATGTTCAAAACATTTCTACTTTTGGAAATTTGTTATGCTAATGTTGATGGAGTGGTAAAGGAGCCAAGAATTAAAACTGTTAGCATGAATCTGCTGCAAAAAATATTAAACAATTAAATACTCTCTGGTTTTGAATACAGATATCTGCACTTGTTTATTCCATCACAATGTCCATCAGAGGTGTTATCAGAACAAAAAAAAAAGAGAGAGCTGACAGCTAAACCAACTCTTACATGAAGGATATTCCTCTTGCTTAACGTGATTTAATCTCCCTCATCAATCTTCCCATGGCATCCTGAAAGGGCACAACCTCCCCCTCAAGATAAAAATGAGTTATAGAAGCCAGAACAGGAACACAGGAGTGGGAAATAGTTTTGTTGTTTCCCCCGCTCTGAAAATCTCTGCTCTCTATCCTGAATTTTATGGTGCCAAAACATGTCTAAGCTGCAGAGTCTCCTCTGCACAAGCTGGCACGGCATTAACATCTCACTGTCTTCACAGACTTCTAAATAAAAGTAGGTTGTGATTTGTGTTCACACAAATTTCCTCTTTTGATTATTTAGTTATGCTTTATTCTTTAATGCTAGACCCAGTACTCAATATTCAAATCACTGCTATAATTCAAGAGTATTTTAATATTAAAGAGCTGGCCTGCTATTCCCGCACATTATGTCTAGCACAGTTCAGCTGTATTTTGCATAACAGCGCTGCATCTCTCTTCAGTGAGTTCTCCCATTTTTTAATCAGGGCAGATCTTCCCGAACTGCTCTTCCCTTCGGCCAAGAGGAGAGTGGTGACCCCTGCAGAGGGCACCTCATGAAAGCACCATGAATACAGAGGAGCACGTGGGGAGAGGATCTGCAAACACCACGTCCGAGATACCCCTGTCTTTCACCGTTGGTTCTTCAAGAGCCTAAATACAGAACTAAAGTGCTATGTCTCCTTTCGATACATACTACTTTAATCACATTAATTATTCCATTTTGGCAGTCATTTCTCTTGGGATTTAGGCAGGATTTTTGAGACTGCATGTCGTCCTCTGAAGGAGTCTATGAAATAAAAGCTGTCTGATCTGATTAACATGAATAGCTACAGAAAACTGCCTATAGAATCAAAAGAAGAAATAAATCCAACACCAGTTTAGCTTATGGGAACAGAGCATTAGACAATTTCTCTGTGTGACATAATCTACCAAGAGGCAACTGACATCAACCCACATGAAATGACGCAGTCTGACATGCTGGCTATTCAACGGAAACAGAAAAGAGGCCAGATAAGAAGGAAAAGATGATCAGAGAAATGGCTTCAGAACAAGACTTTCATTAGTACAGTTTAAATTAATTACTAGAAAAAACATCTTAAAAATTACTCTCTGTAGTTAATGTTTCTTTGCTGCTGTAAAGGAGGTCAGCTGGACTAGCAGTGCCCTGAGCTCTGCTGAAGAGCTGACAGTGTCAGTTTGCAGAAGAGATTAGTCCTGGCTCCATCAATCTCTTAATGAGTTTGGCTAAAGGACAAGTGACATCCATGGCAGTCCATGACATGGTTTGTGGCCTCTTTTCTTGCCTACAAAATCAGGGCCATCACAGCAACTTACTACACAGTGCCCCCCAGAGACGTTCTGGACAAGGAAAAACAACCAGATGGCAACTTCATGAGCTGGGAGGCAGTATTTGTATATCGATAAACTGGGGTCAAACAAGCTGCAAGGATCAGGGCGTTAATGAGTGAAGATGAAGAAGCAAGTTTTCCATGACCAGAGTTTACAAAGGCTCTTACCATCCTCGGTAAAAATGGGAGCAGTGTGCAAGTAGTGGATGATGTTGGCGTCCTGCTCAAAGGGACATTCTACTTGCTTCCAGGTTATAAATTCTCCTACTTGCTTAGCCAGTTCCAGAAATTTCTGTAAAATAAAACCATTCCACCAAGTTACATCTGAACAGATTAGGATCCAGGATTCGTCTTGTCAGTCACAGGGATATAAAGGAAAAGCAATCTGGTACAGCTGTAGACAGGTGCATTTTCCTGGTTCACTACAGGAGAAAGAGGCAGGAAAGGGTGTGCTACATTTCTTTTTACAGGCAGTCTCAGTTTGTGCTTGAATAAAAACACATCCATGAACACGTTACAGGTTACGCATATGTACTTGAGAACAGAGGGCATAAACTTGGATGGAAGAGGAAGAAGAAGGATTTAATAGAAATACAGAAAGCAAAATGACCTCAATGCCTTTGAGGTGGCACCAATGCATGGCACAAGTGTCTGATGTAATTTAAGGCATGTCAAGCTCAATATCCTATTTATTATTCACCATCTCACAACATCAATAACTAAAAGAGAAATTTAATGCAACAAACAGACATGCTGAAGAAGTAATTTACAAAACATTTGAGAGCTGCAGAACTGTTTTGTCACCGACGCTGGGCAGTTTTTTTGGAAGCACCCAATCTCTGCAATTATCTTTGCACAACGTACAAATCTTGGCAATAACCATTGCACAGTGTAAAAAGTGTTGCTAACCTTGCAGTTAGCAACAAGTAGTGCCAGGGTAAACCCAAACTCTCCGGCACAGACCTGGGATTATGCAGGGCACCTGACTAATATCACCTAGTGCCAGGCCTGCAGGGAGGAGGTAAGTCCTTGTAGGGGAATTAATGGCAATTCTTTCATGTAAAACAACAGGCAGGAATTAGCACGCTCTGATCCTTACACCAAGAGCATGACTTCTGCCTCATGAACTAATTTCTGTCTGTATAAAGTGCTCTATAGTGCCTTGTTTATTAGTGTATATAGAGAAAACATAGTTTGTTCTTGTTTTCTGGGGAAGTCATCTCCTCCTCCAAGCCATTATGTATAATCATTTATACTGCTGACAATACATTTCCATCAGCCAACCCACATGAAGCGAGTCAGGATCTGCCATTCACTCAGCACTGGAAAACCCCGCAGCTTGGTTTTTGATCTGTTTGCAATGTTTATATTAAATATGCCTTTTATTTATTTATTTTTTTAAAGACAGTCTAGGGTTAGTTAAACCTTCAGGCAGTCACTCAAGACTGCCTGTTTTGGCACATTCAGTCTTTGTCAGTCTGCACTGAAAACATGGGCAAGAGGTCTTAGATAGTGCTAGAATGGGAAAGACAAAAAAAAAAACATTTTTCAGATCTTACTTCAAAGTTGACATGTCCATTTGGAAGGCGATTAGCACATCCTTCATTCAAAAAATAAATGTCTTTGATCAATAGGCTGAAGAAGGGGATCACAATCTGTGAAGAGAAATGGCAAAACTATTATCTTTCCAGCACAGGATTTTCTCTGCATGAAAGAAGAACTCAATCAGGAAAGAAGAGAAAAAAGAAATACTAACTTTTCAGTGTGCTGTGCACTTAGAAAGCAGGATAGTGAAAGGCGAGGAAAAGGGCAGCAGGGTACAAAGACACCTTCAGCAATCAGGAGCTGACTGTACTCTAGAATAAATAGCCTCTGAGCACAATGGCAGAGTAGAATGACTAAGAAAATACTCATAACCCAGTTTTTTAACTCTCATTGTATCAGTAGTGTCACTGAGCGTAGAAAGCACAAGATTAAATTGCAGATCTTTCCTCCCCCTGTTGAGGTCTTTGTCAGTAAAGATGCTGAATAGACAAATCAAGCAATTCAAAGACATTTGCAAACCTAAGAACAGCAAGGGAGGAAATACTTAGCACAGATACACTTAGGTGACCACTACAGTTCTAGAACAAGGAAGGATGGAATAATACAATTCAGTGGCCAAGGACTTATCTACAGGCAGGGTTTATCACCAGGAACAGCTGCATTTTCACCAGCTCCATTCATGCCTTTCTCTGGAGGCATGAACCTGCCTTTGTAGTGCCTGTTTAGTATAACCTGCTTCTCCACAGCAACCTGCAGAGGGTTGCGTTGAGAACACACAGTTTATTGAAAGGAAAGTGCCAACAGAATCAGAGAGACCTCTGCAACATGGAAAACAAGCCCTAAGTGTCATTCAGGGCAAGCTGCCGTATATTACTGATCCTTCTCTCTAACCTGCCACAGTCAAATGTTGCTTTGCTATAGGAAAGACCTACTTCAGTGTTAAGGTAAAACTCTTGAAATTAAAGGAATTACAGCAGGGATAAATTCAATGCCAGATGCATCCCAATATTCACATCTGAGTCTTCGCGACTCCTGTGTGGTGCTACTGTGATAGAAAAAGCCAACGTGGAGGGTCTGGGCACCCAGCTCCATGAGCAGTTTCCTGCAGCAGTCAGGTCTGTTTTTAAGCCAGCAAGCACAGAGTTAATCCCCACAGAGAGCGAGGAGGGCGCGCTGCATAGCAGGGTTTCCAAATGTTTCCACTGGCCTATCTGCAAACTACCTGGAGTGCAGCTTGTGCAGCTGGTTGACGCGTGCAGTTCAACGCGTCCCGGCACGCACGGCGGCCATGGGAGCTGCTGACAGCAAAGCAATCGTTCACTTAAGTACTTAATGTCCTGCAGTGACTCCAGTGCACGCTGGACATCAGCTGAAAGGGTATCTGCAAGGGCCCTAGAGCAGGGCAGCAGCTGCTCTTCCCAGTCTACAGCCTTCACGTTGCAGCACTGAGTGTGAGCAACCCACAGATGCTCCAACCCTCACTGGAGAAAGGCCCCGTCAGGCCAGTGCTTACCTTACCTTTGCTGCAAGGTGGAAAGCTTAAATAGCTCCAGCTATAATGCCACATGCAGGGAACTGTTTAAAGTTTGCATTTCTGTTGGCAGTTAGAGACCAACTCTTTAATGCCAGTACAAGAGCCACAGAAAGGCTAATAGTTCTGTGTAGGCTCGTGTGAGCTTGTGCTGCCCTGCTCTACACTGCCTGGGAGCGAGGTCTCCATCATTGGTGGTCCTAAACATAAACCAAAAGCCTTGCTGAGCTTGCTGTGGCCCCTCGGCCACAGATGTACACTCTGCAGTGCAGGATCCTTGGATGCAGAAGCAGGAGAACGGCTCATACCAAGCCTGGAGCCGCGTGCACAAGCCCTGGGAGCTGTGCTCACACCTACCTTCTCCCTGTTGCTGTGCGCAGTGAGGGACCTGTGAGCAGCTCCCCGCAGCGCCGTCCGGTAGTTATAGAAGTTACCAGTAGGGTCCATCTGGTGCTAGATCCACAAGAGAAGACACTTAGGTTAGAAAGGGACCAGGGTGCTCCAAAGACAGCTTTACCCATAGCCTTCCATAGCCTAACAGAGCTTCGCCTGCATCCTTGGAAGACCTACACATGTGAAAAACAGATGTGTGATGAGAGGATACGACAACAGCTCTAGGAGCACAGGCCATGGTTGTCTGTACCTCTGATTTTATATTAATAAATGACCGAGTTTTTATTTGGACACCATTTGATCTGTAGAATGAAGTGACACAGATGGATCACAGGAGGACTGTGCATTTCATACAGGCCAAAGCCTGGTTCCTGAGTGACAATCCCTCTGATTCCCCTGAGCACGTTGTGACCTTTCCTAAGTACCCACTTGGCACCCACAACCAAAATCTTGCACTCTACCTGTGAAATATGTCTACAAGCATCTCATATATCACTCACACATAAAAAAAAAAAAGGGGGGTTGTTTGTCTTTTTACCTCGAGAATGTAAAATTTTGCTGTTTTCACTTTTGACCAAGTCTTCTTTAGCCTGGAAACTGGACTCATGTTCATTCCAGCTAGGAGTGAAGAAGAAGAAGGACAGTGGGTGCCATTCAGATATTTCCTTTGCATCCCTGACAATGGAGAGCTCTCTAGAGAAGCAGTACTTACAAATGATTGCCATCAGTGAATTAAAATTCCCTATGTTAAAACACTCTCGGGCGACGTCAATGAAGAACTCGATGACTTGCGCTCGCTGTTTCTTTTTTGCAGGCTGCAAATTAGAAGAAAAGCTGTAACAAGCGTATGCAGAATTGCAAGGCACCCTTGCTGCTTGTTCAAACAGTGAGCTCATCACCATGGCCCTTCATAAGGCCAGGATTTCACATCCACATAAGAGCAGCTTCTTTGTTCCAGAAAGACTTTGTTTCAGTGCATTAAATCCCTTCTGCTGTTCTGGGTATTTTAATAAGGAGGTCAAGTCAAATGGTAGTTTGCATTTTCAAACCATATGTTCACTGGGCTGGAACACCCTACCTTTCCAAAGAACTCCAAATACTCAAGTGTTTGAGCCATAGGCAATCTGGGCTGCTTAACCCACTACCCTTCCTCCCTTCCACACCCTCTTCACAGCAGTAAACATTTGGTTCATTTCGATGGGGTCAAGTTAAAAATAAAAAAAAAAAAAAAAACAAATGAAAACACTACCAAGTTAAAAAAAAACCTTAGTCACAACTACAGTAATGGACAACAGGACAACGGCCCAGGCAATGAAATTCACCTGCAGAGCAAAGCTTTAGGCAGACACATAACAAATACTGCTCCACTACAATTTTTGCCAGTAGAAGTCATGCAGTGTAATTTAAGGCATTTTTTCCCTCTCTTTTTCCCTGCAGGGTTCATTAGTCCACCCCGTGCTCCTCCTACATCAAGAGAACTGTTTATCCCCTGTGTGTCGCCAGCATTTTTTGCAACGTGTTCATCATTATTAGGTCTCTTCTGCGAGTGAGATGCTCCTAAACATTACTGCCTGATGCTTGGCTAGCTCATAAGAAATAATCCCCAGGTCTGCTTATTAACAGACTGTCTCAAACTGGCACATCAAGCAGGTGGTAGAACACGGCCACGCACGTTTTACTTACCATGCAAATCTCTGTCGCTACAAGATAGCAGAGTCTATTGAACCATTTCACGTACGCCTCGAGGTTGCTTGTCTTCTTCTGCTCACTGAAACAAGTCTGGGGGAGGAGGAAGGAGGGAGAGACATTTAACTCGCAGCTAGCTGTCTGGGTGCTGCAATACACGCCACGCACTGGTGGTCACTTTGTCACATCGCTGTGGCGCACTCGGGGGACGGGGCATTAAGAGCACAGTTCAAAAGGTCAGTGGGTGGGTGGGCGGCGGGTGGATGGCTCTAGCCGAGTATGTCGCTCTGCCATTCACGTCAGCGGATGGAAAACGGCCCCTTTTGGCCTGCAGCAAGTGCTCAGCAGAGCTCTGTGCACTGCGCCTGGCTCAGCGGGGCAGAACAGGCATGCAGGATCCACAGAGCAGCAACAATACGCAGAAAGATCAAGCGGGACAAGCGCATCTTGTGCAGCACGTTCAGCTGCACCCTTCCACTCCAGGACCTTTCCATTTTTGTAAGTGCAATCACCGGCAGCCCCTTTCTGGAGGGAATAGCTCATAATTCAGTGAGGTGAAAAAGAGACGCTCGCTCACAAGTCTTGTCCAACAAGAGACACTTAGAGTTGCTTCTTTATGGGGGGAAAATATATTTCCCTCGCATTTTGAGCATTCAGGATAATTCGCTCTCTGCTGACGGCTCCACCTTGGCGGCTGCTCCGAAGTTGGCCACCTTCATGCACAAGGGACTTCATCAGAACAGGCCCTTATAAGAAGCACAGTCTCCAGATTTTACAGAGAATTTTATACAATCTCGCACTGCTACAGGCTGTGGGAGCAGATATTTGGCTGAATTCTTCCAGTTCCTTTGACTTCAACAGATAATTTGCCTTCAGTGGAGGTTTGGCAGCTCACACAGCCCAAAGATGTTGCTGGGGATCATGAGAATTCAAGATCTTTTCCCAGACCTAAATTCTGAGAAAGTTCTAGGACTGTCTGTTCTCTAGATTTCACATCATTTATTTAAACATTCATTAATGTCCACTAGAGGGTATCAGAGAATACTGAATTTTTGTTTTATTAGCATGAGCATTTCCCAGGGCTGCCAGAAATACAGGCCACTACGAAGAAAACCACAGTGCATGAATACAGATTCCTTAATGCCAGTAGGAATGCCCATTCCACACAAGTTAAATACCTAAAAGCCTTTAAGGAATGTTGACTAATATAATTCCCAAGGTAATTAAAAAATACATATTCATTTATGTTCAAAAACAGAAATCAACAGAAATCATGGGGAAAGTCTTAACAAGCCTAAAATTCCTAGCTACTTTAAGACTAAATTACAAGAGCTTTGTTGTAGTTTTTGCTTTATTATTGAGGTCCTTATTAGGTGGAAGATATTGCCTTGGATTTCAAAGGCCACACAGTGATGCAGCCCTTCCTCCTGCCCGTGCTCTTTGCCCTGTTATTAAGGACTTCAATGAAGTCACAGGTGTGATACTGATTTGAACTGTATATTCTCATCATATTTCAAGAAATCTCTTATTTTTCTTGGTCTTTCAAGATGTTTCGCTCTGCTATACCAACCTACCATTACTTAGGGTCTCCCTGCTTTTCTTTCAGGCTCTTTGCTTTAGTCCTTCCTGTCCACACTAGCTGATGTTTCCTTATGTTTTCTTCATAAGCTTAATTTCTCTTTACACCTCAGTATTCCTCTGTGTTGGCACCACAATCTCATCCTCCCAGGCACAACACAATGACATGGAGGTGACAGGAAAACACAAAGCTCCTGTGCTGTAAGGACCAAGAAACACTACGTCTATTTGCTGCCTTTTAGCCAAGAGTACGTGCCCCCTGGGAAGCCGTTTCTTGAAGCTCACAAGCAACTCATTAAGCTCATTAATTGTTGCTTTCCTTGACAGAAGTGGCTGACTGAAGGATAGGGCAGCCACAGGGTCTCTTCCAGGTGCGTCCAGCTGGTAACCAGTGTGGGGAGAGTCAGAGGGCTGGAGCAACCCGTGAGTTGCTCATTGTGAGGGTGGGTCCTTCTCACCATGGACAATCCAGCAGCTCCACACAGCAGCCCATGGTTTCTCCTCCATCCTCTCTTCTTCCTTCTCTTGGCAGTAGGAGACCGTAGGAGCTGTTGCTGGGCACCATGGTATTAGAAACTAGCTGAGTTGCTCTTTTCCGAGTAGCAAGAATGATTTTATTGTCATTAAATCTGAGCATAAAATGCTTAACTGCGAGTTTCTTGATTGCATCTAAAATGAGGTGATTTTTAGTCTGTCTTTGATACACTGGTAACTCCTATGGAGGCAGCAAAATTATTAATGGTAATTTGATACTAACTGTATCAAAAAGAGACAGAATTCTTCTCGCCCCAGGACTCTCAACTAAAATTTGACTTGTGGTGGCTAAGCTGATAATAGATGTCATTTCCTCAGTGATCAAAAGCTCCAAGAGTAATATTTTCCATTAAGAAAGTTTCTTTAATACTCATCTAAGCCTAAGAAAGCATTTTCCTCAACACACATTTCTGTGAAGTTCTTTACTAATAATGACAGTTATTTTTATGGCACTTGGAGCTTTCATATTTCTGACACATATTAGAAATCTCAGGGTTCCTACCTAAAAAACATGATCGATGCTCACAATACCTGGAAAAACATTTCTGCCCGCTCCCCTCTCCCAGCAACCAAGTGCAAAATTTCCACAATTCCAGTTAGAGGAGATGCCCAGTGTTGCATTTTTTATCCACTCATCCATACCTCCCTCCATCAACCCATTTCTTCATCAACACAAATTATTTGCTTTGGACAAGACTATAAACAGTGGTATTTCTGTTATTTTCAGAATCAAAAGATTCAATTCTGCCACTGATATATGATGTTGGTGGGAGCCCATATGCAGTTCTGAGGACAAATTTTCCCCCCCTTTCTCTTCTGGCATTGTAGGAAATCTCACACTTTCACTCTCTGGCCAGGAACTTTTTTTCCTTTTTGAGACACTCATTGAAGTGCTGCTTCAAACCTCACCAGAATCAGTGGAAAGGCTCCAATTGGCTTCTCTGGACTTTGGATGAAGTCCTGATCAGACACTCTGTTCCCTACAGCGCTCTGGGTTAAAAGCTATTGTGTAGAGAGAGATGAGTACGTTGATTCATGACGCACTGACTCATTACTGTGGTGTCTGGGCACACACTATGGGCATGACATCACGTCCAAAGCCTATGTGCCTCCATCACTGGGAACAGACATTCCCTGGTCCTGCGCAGCCACAAGCCATCTGTCCCGATCAAAACACGCTAGGAGGAGCGATCCGGAGGCCAGGACATCGGGATGTGGCCGTCTCTGGCTGGGACATAGTCTCATCAGGAAGGAATGGCAAAGACCTGCCAATGAAGGAGCTCTACTGAAGGTCCCGTCCCCGCTGCGAGAATATAGACGTCTGCCAGCGGGTCTGCTCCTGCCTGACGGGTGCCCCAGGCCCTGCTCCTTCGGATCTCATCAGATCAGTTCAAAAAGCTGGAACAAACACCGTTATTGCAGGAGACATTTTGCATGCAGACAAATCATACCTTGGTGCCATCCAAAGGGTCTTTATGGACAAACGCCTGCACAAATTCCTCAGGTCCAATGTGACTTAGCCTTTCCTTTTAGAAGGGAGAAAGAGAGAGAGAGAGAAAGAATAAGAAAGTATCCCAGAATCTCTTCTGTTTCTTTTGGTAAGACACTCCTGTTATCTGTCAGCTTTGAAAGGGTGTCACTGAACTGGTAGACGGCCAACTAGCACCAGACATTAAAATTCATAAGAGCAATCAGAGTTTTTTCAGCAGAAAGGGGAGAATGAGAATAAAAATGTCTCATTATTGACAAGGTGCAGTAAGAGCCCCTGGCTGCACAGAGAGGCGCTGGCTGCACAAGGCCCCGTGTGGGAGCCAGGAGACCTCGGCTCTGCGTTAGTGCTGCCCCAGCCCTGCAGTTGGCTAGTGCTGCTCAGCAGCCTAGTTTCCCAGCCGTTAAAATGGTAGGAATGCTGTGATCTGGCGAGCAGAGCAGTCCCCGGCCCCTCGGCACTCACAGGGCTCTGACCCTACCCCCCTACCCCGCGACGCTGCGCTGCTGCCCCGGGAAGGAACGTCGTGGAGATCCACGTCTCACACTAGAGGCATAGGTTACACAGCAGTGTCCCTGGCACTACCCAAAACAGTAAATAAAGAGCACGTGAGGGACCATCCATAGGCACCAGCTCTCCTGTGCCTCTGGAGGACACGGGCCTGGTGCTAGGGTGTCCTTGACCCGGCAGCTAACGAAGCTTCTTGGCCATGGAAACTGCTTCCCCTCCACCCGAGCTATTTCCCTCCGACTTGACATCTATCATATCCATAAATCTCAAACCTGCTGAGAAAAAAAGTGACGTGAGCTATGGTGCTTTACAGCAGTTAGCACTGTGATTAATTACACCGAGTCTGGCTGCTGCTGAGACTATTTAGCCTATTGCTTAATGAACTAGGCCCTCGGTGCCCCATTTCATACACGTGCCGTAACTCCCTTTGACTTCTGCTTCTGCCCATTAGCACAATCCAGTCCAGGCTGTGAGAGGGGAAAGAAGATCGCTTCCATTTTCTGTGAGTAGAAGACGCTACCAGAAGTGACTGAGCTGTTGGTGGGGTGGTACAGCCTGTAAAAACCCAATGATCTGTGAGTCAGAAGATGGATAGAAAGGAGATCAGTCTCCTTTTTATCCCTGGGTCTTGGGCCATTCATATCTTATTTGCACACCTCTTTTCCCAGCCTATAACAGTGATGCTGTGGTCTGCAAAATGCTCTCGCAGCCTGGTATGAGCACGCAGAAATTCCCAAAGGGAAGAATGAAGAACATTAGACAACTTGAATGCTTTGTGTATCTGTAGGAATGGTTTTGAACTGCTAAAATTTCTTCCCAATTAATAAAAGAGTTAATAATCAGCCATTCCAATAACACCTTAGGTCAACAAAACAAAGCCCCTGGCCTTTCTGGGAATACAAGTCACATTTCACAACTATACAAGCTGAAGAATAGAAAGACATAAAGTGATGTGTTCCACGATACACACAGGAACACTCTGACGTATCTCTCCATTCAAATATCTCTTAACATCACTTAAAACTGACGTCCTCCTGCAGTGCTGACACAGCACAAGACGTGCTGCACCACTGCTGCAGGCTTTAAAAAACCTCTCTGACCACAGAAGTTGGAAACCATTCCCACTCACCAGCTCCACGTGCGTGAGCTGCTGAGCCAGCGTGTAGGGGTCACTGCAGACACTCAGGATTTCCCTCTGGATTGATGGGGGTTTGTTTTTAAAGGCAACCAGCTTATCTGAGACAGCAGCATTGATCTTGACAATCCCTTCTTGCCCATGGTTGAGGGTTGCAAGCTTCTGATTCAGGGTCTGCAAGAGCTGATTCATTTTTTTCCAGTAGGCCTGGAAAATGAAGAGAGAAAGAAACATAAACCACCCAAGGACTTGGTAACAGAGCATTTTCATGCAGAACTTCCATACTGCAGAATATTTCTAAGCCAGCAACAGGTCACCACTTTATTTTCAATGAGCCTATTTCAGAATAACCAGTTGCCTTAATTACAGTTCTGTGCTCTGGACCACAGAGGCAGACTGCAGGCCAGAGCAGAGGCGAGCGGGACCGGTGGGTTGGGCTACCAGCCAACACCAGCACTGGTGGGATCAGAGGAGAGGTAATGCCAAAAAAGAGGTCCCCATCGTTTATGTTAGTTAGAGTTCTTGGCCAATACTTAGGTCTTAATGCTCCCTAGTAAATAGGGATGTACTAGGAATAAGAAATGTTTCCAGTGATAAACTCGCCACCCCTTTGAGCTGACAGCAGCAGGAATACAGTTATTCTGACCCTGCTGGAGAAGGCTGCGCATTGCATAGCTCTGGGTATTTAATATCTCAAATGTTAATTGCTTTTGGAGGAAGCTCATATCATATTCCAAGCACAGCCGTGCGCTCTGCAGGATGATCATTACCAAGTTGCTCAGGTTGCTCTCAGAGCTTCAACAGCTCTTCACAAACAGTAAGTGGAGCTGCTGGCCATGAAGGATGAAATGCCTTCAACTCTTCATGAGTGACAGATGCAGACATTATAGAACTGAGATAAATGAGAGAACAGGTGGATGGGCTCTAAAGAAATAATTCATTGAAAAAGTCCTTGGGCTAAAGACTCATGTGGAGCAGAGAGTGGCTGCATCCTGCTGAAGAATGAGACCTCATGGGCTCTTCTTGCAGGAGAAAGGAGCATCAGCCATGGATGTGGCATGGGTCCTTGTTCAACTTCAGGGAGCACCAGTCTGTTTGCTGCCCTTCCCAGCACACAGATACACGGTACAGAGACGCCCTGGCCACCCACTCCCTCTCCAAACACAACTGAGCCCATCAAGTGACTCTGGTTTATAAGCAGTCAGGGCACAACTCGAGCTGGCACAGGGCCCAGCTCCACTGTATTTGTACTACACGGGTGCATACCATAGCACCCTCCATGCAGTGGTGATCATCACAGCTGCAACATGTCCAGAAAACCAACACACACCTGACACAGCCCAAACCAACACCTGGAAAGAGGTCCTGAACCCCACAGTTTAGATACAGCCTTTGACTTCAGTCTCTCCCAGACGTGCTGGGTGTTGACAACACTCGCATTCAGGTGTCCGAGTTACCCGGAGCCAGGCTCAGTGCTCTTCTCACCCAAACAGGATCCCACCTGCATACATCCTACTGCTTCATTCTCTGTAACAACACACTCTTATCTGTCCTTTCTCCATTCAGCTCTGAGACTGGAAACCCTCAGGACGATCCAAGTGCTTCCACTTTTCCTGCAAGACTTCGTCACATTTGTGTGACTCTTCCAGCAGAAGGATTAGGGAGGTGCCTCGTTTCATACATGGAAGATGCCCTCTGAGCTGGGTATGGTCCAGTGAGCAGGATTCGGTTAGGCTATTTTGCAAAATATAGCTGACAAGCTCAAAATGAAATAAATATCTAGAAGGCAGGAGGGACTGCTCTAGGAAAATGTCCAACACATGTTCCACTCAGAGGCAAATCACAGCAGAGTGAGGAAGAGTGAAAAGAATATTAACTGAAGTAATTTCTAGGAATTAGGAATCATTCTTTCAATATCATCTACACGGGCTCCCAGGAAGGGAGGCTGCCAGGCTGCTTCATGTAAATCCTCACTCAAACAGATGCTCAACCCTGTCATTTCCAAAGGCCAGCCCGGACCCAGCCCGCTGAACAGCATCCAAATGCTTCCCTGGTTCATGTGTCAGGACTGTTTGCAAATCTCAGCACAGCTTCTGAAACCCTCCAAACAGAATGTTATTCTTTAGTGCAAATACAAATGGTGGCATATTTTGGTATTTTGTGAACATATTTTGAGAAACAAGGGAATTTTTTTTTTGGGCGGGGAACAGTGACATCCAAGTTTTCTACAGAATATCAGATATTTTTGCACAAAAACTTGAAGCTGGAAACTCAGTCCTCCTTCAAAATGCACTTTAGATGAGAAATCTTTGACCAGCCATGTCTGTGCAGCACCAAATCCTTCACTGTTTGGGTGAAAAGCCAGCAGCAGTACAAAACTGCTTGAAAGACAAAGCATATTGGCAAGTCTCTCAATAAGCCCTCATCAAGAAATCTAGTTTCACCTAATTTTACAGAAAATATAGCACAAAAATATACACAGACAATGGTAAATGAAGATTCAGGTAGGCCAGTCAGCAAGGGAGAATGAAATAGATCAGACACTTAATGAACACAAAAGATTATTCATAAATTAGAGCTTTTAAAGAGACTAACTGCAAGTTTGCTGAGTGTATCCTTTTCCGGAAAGCTTTTCTATGAATATTGGAAAAGGAAGAAAAAAAGAGAAAAAAAGAAAGAAAAGAAACACAACATTTTTTTCTGCCCCTTTAAAAGTATTTCCTGCCTTCTTTAAAATACATTCACGAAGTCAGAACGACTTTTTTCATTACCTTTGACATGCTGGTAATTACCTCACCACAAAGCGAACTCCCTTATGGGGGCTGCGTGCTGGACTCACTATCAACCCATTTTTCTTCACTCCCACATTAACAGTCAAAAGAAGCATGCTACTGTTTAATATTTAAAGAAAATGTTTCCTTCTTATCTGAGAAAGTTCCTCTGAAGACAGCAGGTCTCAGCAGGTGGCTTAGGAGCTCAAATTTTAATTAAAATTTCTAACTCTAAATGCAAATCACAGCACTTACTAAGAAATGCTTCCCAGCATGGACACCCTTATAAAAACATCACAGAGCCTTTAGAAAGTGGACTATAGGAAGAACGGGAGCATATACTGGAGAGGAAAATCCTGCATTAACCTATACAGCCTCGATGACCTAACAAATCTCTCAATCTTTAAGTTCTATGATTCACGATGGGAACAACTTTCTTGCAAGCAACTACCGGGCACAGCCCCTCTTTCACGCTGTCCCTCAAAAAAAAGAAATCTGCATCTGCAGGACTTAAGCTGTTCCTTAAATTAATTATTGGTTTCACTCAGGCATAATCACTTGCAATTATGGCGCCTGGTAATATTTGAAAAACAGTGATTTGGACCTAATCCAGGCCGAGCACCTCAGAGTGAACATGTGTGAACATCAGTGGGCGCAGCAACCGCTGGCGTCTGACAGGCAAACTGCAGCTCTGCCTGCCTGAGGTTTTCCTTTGGGGCTCTTGGTTGGGAACAGAGTGTAAGGAAGGCCGCAGGACGGGTCACCTCCCTCCTGTGGATGGGGTCAAGGCCACCCAGATCCTTTGGGGCAGCCCCTTCTGTTCCCTCCAGCTCCCGTGACCACCTCGGCCGGGGCAGCGGAGCCGGTCCCAAGTGCCAGCGCTGATGCCAGCCCTGCCCAGGAGCAGCTGTTTCCATTTCTCTAGTGTTTCATGTGGGTAGGAGGGTCCTATTTCAGCCCATTCTGCTTAGGCCCTGCTAATTGTTTCCCTTCTCCCTCTCGTGGGTCCGCACTTTACTGCTGTACTGAGCTGCACACATCTGTGGCCTCAAGCCAGGCCTTGACGTAGCCAATCGAGCCGAATTCTTCCACATCTCATGGTTAACCCAGAAGTAATTAGAGACTCTCAATGTGCTGTTTGCCCATATCCTTATTATTCCACGGACTTTGTGGTATTTTTAATGTTTCTGGATTAATTTAAGGGGTTCACCCACCTGAACTGTAGGCAGGTCTCTTGCTGGGTCCTGCTCTGCTGTGCACAGACTTTGTGTATTTGAAAACCATGAGGGAACCTTTATCATTACCTAGAGAGAGTTTCTGTCCAGCATGCCACAAGCTGCTCCCTTTTGCCACTGCTGTGCCAAATGTCCATAAACAATTTTTTAAAAACATAAGGACTGCCCCTTGCTCTCTCTCCAAGTTCAGCAAAACAGACTGGATTCAAAAGGACCTAATGTTCTGGTCAACATAGATCCTGTGGTCTTTAATGTGCCTTCCAGGGGCATCAGTGAGGCTGTGATCGGAGGCTGCTGCTCTTTATCTGCTCACTCTCTATCTGGGTCCCAGCTTTACAATAGGAATCAGTCCTAGCATCGAGCCTGTGACATGTTGTGCCCAGGACAGGAATGCACAAGCCAACTGCTCGTTGGATTCACTAATGAAAAGATGAACATGAAAAGCAAAGATTGTTTCAATAAAATAAAATAAAATAACACAGACTGTGAAGAGATGTAAGCCAAGGAATGAAAAATTAGACTTTGGAACAGAAAACGCCAAGTAACAGAAGAAAAAATAGGAGGAATCAAGTAGGATAAATGAATTTAATATGTCCAAGCAATGTTCCCAGCCAGACATCCTTACCTCATCACACGGGGCTATCCTGTGAATCATGTCTTTCAGATGGCCGATCATCCGTTCTTCCTGAAAATCATACGGGAACGTTTCTGTCCACTCTGTTAGCAACTGTAAGATTTTGGGTCCAAATTTTCTGATCCGTGCCTGAAAAGGAAACCAGAGTGATAGATAGGGATTGAAACATCCGGACTCATTTAAGTCTCAGCAAATATGGATCTCACTGAACGTGGGGCCAAATTTTCAAAGAAGGCACTTATGGTTGCACCTGCAAAATCTCCACACATGCAAACAAATAGTCTGGTGCACAACTGACACATTTCTGCATGCAAGATGTACCAGTGTCTATATGCATGCACAACTGTCTGCTTTACATGCAGATTTATGTATTTTGCCCATGCAATTGGCCAGTTTATGGTTAGATGGACATATTTTGTTGGTGCAACCTTAATACCTTAGCTTAAAACATCTGGCCTTTTTGCTGATTTGAACCAGATGTTCCTCCCTACACCCCTCCTATGCTTTCATCCTCTCCTGAAGAACTGCTTGCAACGTTATTCCTTGACCAACCAAGAGGTGAGTCTTTTGCTTCTTTGCTCTCTGGCAGGGGGATGCACTGCTTAGGGACCACTGGGAAATGTAGCACAAGGAAGAGAAAACAGACAAAACACGGGCACGTTAGTTCCTTTACCCGGAATCCTGAGGATGTTGCCCTCTTCCCACCTGAACTCAGGGTCATGATAGGATAAGGACACCCCCTCATGTAACCCACAGCTGCTGCCCACTTTGCTGTGGGTGGAGATCAGCAGCAGGAACAGTCTGGGGATGAGCAGTCTGGGGGCAGGGAGGGGAGCGGGAGGGAGCAGCACTCCTGGTGCCTTTGGGTAGCATCAATCCCCAGCCACAGCGGCTGCTTCCAAAGCTTTCATCCTCCATTACCCAAGAACACGGAAAGAGGAAGCTGCGTTAAACAATAAACTGTATTTTTATTTACAGAAAACACAGACGAAAACAAACAGCCTTCTGCATACGTACTGCAGCTCAAGTGTACCCTGTAATCAGGAAAAATTATACTCTTGAGCTCCACAGAGCTCTGCTTTTCAACCACGGTGGTTCAAATGCATATTTCAGCTTTCCACCAACAACAGGTTTCAATGAACCGCATCTCTAAAAATAACTGCTGTCAGCTAGCATTAAACTCACGCTCAAAGACCAGCAGGTGGCTACTAAAAGGAAAGCTTTCTTGGAAACTACAAAGGTCTGGGGATACATTTGCTCCAGCTGTGTAAACTGCTGCTATGAATGGAAGGAGAGGACTGTGTGCGAGTCACAGGCCACAGCGCAAGGGCTGGGAGGTCACTCGTGGGCAGACAGTTTTAAAGCCAGCCCCGCTCTGAGGTACACAAATTCAGCCGTGTGCCGCCAACTGTGCGTGAGGACAGGGCTGCCCGAAACGCAGCCTCACCCCGAAGCAGCTGCACTTGGGGCAGATTGAGAGTATTTCTGTGATAAGATAGTAAGATAATGCCTCATTTCTTGGAAAGTCTGGCAGGCGGCAATAGCCTGCAGTGCCCACATCCGAATCCTCATAAAAGTGCTTCAGGCAAAGCACTGGCCTCAGGGAACAGAACATCTCACACCTTTGGAAAAAACGTTTAGGTGCTGGACTAGATGATCTCTAGATGTCCCTTCCAACCTCAACCATTCTGTGATTCTGCGTGATTCTGCACCTGAAACACATCCTTGTACTGCCCTCAGATCACACACGCCACTCGGATCTCCCTCACCTAGGGAGCCTGGTGCCAACAGCCTGGGCAAGAACAAGCACACGTGCTCAGGTGATGGCAACTGAGGCAACACAGGAAGTCCAAATCACTGTGCTTCAAAGCTGGGAAGGCTGATCCTGCAACACATTTCAGAATTTCTGTTTGAGGTTTTGGGGTTTTTTTTTTGGGGGGGGGGGGGTGTAAAATTGCAACTGATGCCTGTTTATCTCTTCTCCATTGCACTGAAGATATATATCTATCTCCTGCTCCAGGCAATGCACTGGACAGGCTTTCATCAATACCCCAAGGAGAGCTAAGTGGAATCTGGCACTGATCAGGATCCAAGGCGATCCAACTCGTCCGCAGTGCCTCTGGGACGGACAGAGGATGCACATGTGTTGTCACACACTGTGTCTGTCTGCTCGGTCCTTGGGCAAATCGGAGGAACAGAGAGGCAGGAGCAGCTTGGGTTTTCCCGTGTCGTTAGCTCGCCGGAGCCTCGCTGCTGCCTCAGCTGGCTGCGGGGTGCGGCGCAGAGCCCTGCTCCGCAGCTCGGCCGCACAGGGGCTGTGAGCAGCAGCAGGAACGTCAGTGCGGGCCGCATGCTCTTACGCTGTGCTCACAGTGACAGGCAAGGCCGAGGGGGGCTGCTGTGACTGTTACAGGAGCAAAAAGCCAAAGGGCAGAGGCAGGAAGTACAAAGGGGAGAGTGCCGTGCTGGCATCGGCGACCAGCAGCGCTGCGCTTGCATCCTACCTCCTCGCATCCTGCAGGCTTCACCAGAGCCTTACAGAGGTAAGGAGGAAAATCACCTGGGAAGACTGAGACAGGGGGAAAGGGAGATTAGAAGAGGATTCACAGTGAGCAGTGCCTGCACCTTCGCTCTTGCGCACTGATACTAGGATGCCTCAGTGTGAGGATTGCAGCAACTATCGCCCTAATGAGAACGCTTTTGTTCAATCCAAAGGGAGTCCAAGGCCTTTCTGCCCCTTGAAAATACCTCGCATTTTTCTGCTGTAAATCCAAACTAACCTTGTCCAGCACCGGGTCATCCAGCCGCTGCTGCTCAATGCACTTGTGACAGACTCGGGACAGAAGCTCGTGAGGTTCGATGAAGAGCCTGGAACTCAGCAGGAATGTGAAGATATAGGCTTTCTGCAGAGGAGAGACAAGCAGAGCTACTGTGAGCCAGCCATCCAGTGGCTAAGATTACTCAGAAACCCCCCAATCTCCAAGTTTATTGCTAGGCTTCTACTGCAAAACAGTTTCCCACTCAAAAAGCAATAGAGACACTGGAGCACAGTCCCTGCTTAGGGAGAACAGCTTTTTAGCAGACGTGTCAGTAAGTCATGCCGGGACTCACAGCTGCCAGGTGGATGTCTGCTCTTCTGTGTTTATTAAATATAAACTTTTGAATGTTTACACTTTCTTTTAAGCAACAAATGCCATTAGAGCAAAAAATCTGCTCTTCTATAGCGGGGCACAGGTACAAAGCAGAAGGCTGGATGTCTGGATTGCTGCCCCTGACACTGGCTGCGTGCTGCTATGCAAACCTCCAAGGAGCCAGTGGCATCTCCTACCTTCCTGGCACCCGATTCCAACCCTCTCTTGCCCAAGCTCTTGGGTACCTGCTGTGTGGAGGGCCAGCGAAGGGCATCTCTAGCGCTCTCTGCAAGAGCTAGCGCGGGTCCTGGCAATGGCAGCAGCAGAACAGCTGGGCAAGCCCAGCTCAGGCAGCCTGCGCCACACGGGCCTGCAGGCTGCAGACACCCCTCACCAGCAATAGCCCCCCAAGTGCCCTGCAGGCCTCCCCCTGACTGCTCTAGAGAAGGTCTCCCTCATTCTACTGACTCTCCAGGTTTGTTTCTAACAGTCAAGCTGTACCGTGCACAGTATCATCTCACTGAGGCTCTTGGAAGACGGACTGTTGGATAAGTCACTGGATTATTTAAAATATTCACTAAGAGAATTTTCAATGTATGCATGAATCCTCATTCCTTTGCATCCTGACCCTTCCTGGCGCCTGGATTATCTTCCTTTCGCCAGACCTTGCCTTGCTCCTGAGCAGTAGGTGAAATTGTTTCATATCACATATTGCTTACTGGAAATCTCATAGACTAATCTTGCCATTACCCACTTTCATTGCCTCTCTGTTCTTTTTAATTGATATGCTCCTTTATGACTTATTTTTAGCTGATCGGAAGCTGAGCTGCAACTAATTTAAAACATGCTGCCTGCTCTGCATTGATAACTTTAGTGGTCCTCTAAACTCAGAAGCCAGTGCTACTCTGGCACTTTGAAATACAAGCCTTTCCACAGGGACACATTAGCACTTAAAAGTCTTCCAGTCAAACTCTGCCCTGAATTCCACTGAGGATGTGCAAATCTAGTGAAGTCAACGGCTGGCAGGACCACAAACCTGCTTTCAGTTTAGATCCTTATATTATCAGTGAAGAACCACTGAATTTTCACTGAAGGAACAAAGATCTGAGCTCTGCTGTCCAGTATCTGTAGAGACTTTGCTCATATAACCATATAACGGTAGGTAAATTAAGAAGCTATCAAAATTTCTCTATTTTGCTGAGGGAATGCTTTATATGTGCAGAAAAACTTTGATGGGTTTTACAGCTGCTGAAATTCAGCAAATTTAATGCCAGATCAGATTTTTTTTGCTTCAATCTTCATCTAAACCTCTCTGGGATAAACTGCTGGTTTTGAAGTTCTCCTTTTGCTAAATCACAAATTCATCATCCTCATAGCTTTTCTTTTTTCCCCCCCTGCCTTCTCTTATTTAAAGGCAGTATCAACTTTGGGAACTGCTCTTTCATGGAAGCAATTATAGGGCAATGCAATAGCATTTAAAGCCAGGCATCAATTTACCAGGCATTAAATGTATGCAGCTTTTAAATAAGCCCTCTTAATTCAAAATTAAACACATTTGCATTTTTTTTGCATAAAGTGCTGTCCCAATTCATCAAAATTAAACTGTTTATTATCCTGTGAATTGCTTACTTCAGGGTAGTAATCAGTGGTAGGTATAAGATGCTGGATTAGAGCATCCAGAGATGCTGAGGTAAGGTTTCCATCCTGGAAGATCAGTCCTCCTTGCTCATCTTCTTTTGAAGTATGTAGATGAGGGCTGAAGCCACAGGGGGTAAACATGCTGGTAGACCTCAGCGTTTGGGGCATCCCTTCCTGCAACAGAGAGAAATGTGTGTCAGGGACAAGATCTACTGGACTTGCAACCAGAGGCTCAGCTGCAGGTGACCTGAAAAGCACAAGTCACAAGTAAGAGCGCCCTGTCCACAAAATTAGCGTGATTCCTCCACAACATCCTCCATGAGACCCTCTTTTTCAGTGGTCACCAGTCCATCACACCTGCGATAGGGAATACAGAAAAATGGAATATTTGACATCTGCTTTGATGCCACAAAATGACGGTGGCTGTTTTGGGCTCCCCAAAGGCAAGGCCTGTGCCAACTTTCACTAAAGCCTAACGCAGGCCCCAGCATGAGAGGTGAGATCCTTGGCACTCGAATTCAGCAGGTTTGAGGAGAGTGGAGCAGCAGCTTTGAAGCTCCATCCCTCTGAGAACCAGCCTGGGAGGACTGAGGGTGGGAAGAAGGAGACAAGGTGCCCAGCAGGGCTTGCTGGGGACCCTCGAGAGGCGCCCTGAGGCTGCCGAGGGCCAGGGGAGCTGCCCGAGCGAGGACACAGGGACAGATCCAGGACGAGACCCAGAACCAGGCGCAGGACAGGAAAAGAGAGGAGGAGAGAAGAGAGAACATGGGAGCTGAAGAAGAGATTAAAAAGCAAAGAGAAATGATGAAGGGGAAAAAGCCAGACACCTGCACTATTTTCGGAACCTAAAGTTACTTGGTCGTAGATCTATATTTAGGCACTAAATATATGTTTCAAAAAGATCCTGAGCACTCACCGACCTCACTAGAGCTGCAGGACGCACAGCACCTCTGACAGGAGGCCGTCCAACCTCAGCAGCCACCTTCCGGCTCCCTTTATTTCAGTTTTACGGGCCAAAATGGTTGAATTTCCAGGCTTCACCTCTATTTTGTGGCTCACAATGAACTTCAGCTCTTCCTTCTGTTGAGCAAAGTTGCTTTGCTTCCAAATTGGTGCAAGAGGTGGCTGATTTTGCCCTAAGGGCTTTAAAGCATCTCCTTCTGTCTCTGCAATCCCCAGCCCAAAGCTCTCGACTGGAGGCCATGTCAGGGCACCAAGGACCAGGAGAAGCACCGGGCGCTTCCTCTCTTTGCAAACACCTCTGGGACCTGCCAATCTGCTCCTAAATTTCATTTTCCTTGCAGGGAGGGAAAATGCCCAAGGGAAGCATCCAAGCACCATCTCTACTCCCCAGAGCAGTACTGGAAGACCCTCCCGGCCTCCAGCTCTGCCTGTTGAAGGACCAGGCCCCACAGCCCACCGGCCCCGGGATGTATATTCTGGGGAATATATTTTATTTTAAAGACCAGAATAGCCAAATGTCATCCAGGCCAGAATGCAAGCTGAAGTATTTAATGAACGTGCAGATGTGCTCATTCAATAAGACTCCAGGAGCAACTAATTGCTGCTTTTTGTACACAGCTCAAATGTGGTGTAGTAAATAGGAGAGACTGCCAAATCCCCTTTGCTGCTGCCAACGCGATGTTACGTCTTGTTTCTATGGCAAAAATCCCAAGAAAGATGACGTGTCCATTTAGATTGAGAAATAAATCTCACGGACGTACAGCTGTCCAGAAAAGAAAAAGTTAAAACAATTGTCAATTTATAGCACAAATCCTTGTTTCCATGTAAAACAGAGGGCTCCGAGTAATGATTTATACAGTGTGGCCCCTCACTGTCAACGCCATTTTTATTATCAAGCAGGAACACATTTGAACAGGATATTGCCTCAACGTTTGCATCTCATCACACGAGCAAACCCGATGAAACACACAGTACTGCTCCATAAGTTAAGGCTACTGCTATTTTTACAAGGGAATAAAGCCAGCTGCACAGCCGGGGTTGACGCACCCTTCAGCACTGTGAAGAAATCAGATGTGACCTTCTGTGATCAAGCTCCTGGGCTAAGCTGAAATTTCCTGAGCTGAGGTAAAATTTGCTGCTGGGACCTGTGGTGTTTCTGAAGCAAATCCTGGCCTACAGCAAGGGGCACGTGCTGCCCTCCTGACGGGGTTGGCACCAAGACCTTCTGCTCCCCACTACCTCACGCCGTTAGGTTAGCGTGAAGATCAACCCTACAAAAATTAAAAGCTCTTGCACTACTAAGCTTGGTAATAACTAATATTTGTATTAGGCAGATAGGAGTTTAGGACTGCTTGCAATGTTATTCCGCTTCTGGAACATACTCTTTCAGGAAGAGATGATCATCTCCTCGTATCAGGAGCAGGGGTCCCTGGCTCACAGCACCTGCCAGGTCCCCAGGCAGGACGTGCAGCTCCTTGCTTTGGGAAGAAGCGGGTTATGAAATGGAAGGAAGCTGGTCGGACTCTGCACTAACGCTGGCACAAAGGCAACCAAAACTGCTACTGAGCAGCTCCCTTCTTGTTCTTGTATTTCTTTCTACCTCTCTTTTTTCCCTCTAACTACTCATTAGACCTTTCACTAGTTTTGAGGTGTTCTTTTAATAGATTTCATACATTAAGATTTGAAAAGAAACTCAAAAATGAGAGCAATATACTCCTTTTTAACCTTTCTTTCTGCACTGGCCAGGGCACCTCAGTATCCAACCCCGAGAGGAAGGCGCGTAATCCACAAGACACTCCTCACTGCAAATTATGCCACTTCCACAAAAATATTGATGCAACGACTTGATTCACTGAGCCAAAAACTGGTATGAAACGATGACTCAGCCAGCTGCAAACCCGGCACTTGCAACACCCGGCAAGTGCATCGAAACCTCTGGGAAACGGTTTCCCGAGCCCAAACATGAGGGGACACAGCCTAAAGAAGCAGCTGTCCAACCTTGCAGGTAATGTGGGCCCAACTATCCACCAAAACCCGGCTCCTCTCCCCTTGCCATTTCCCTGGTCTCAAATTGCAGCCACAGCACAAACGCGTTGCCACAAACATCCCCGTGGCAAGCACAACTAGTGCTTACGTGGACATGAAATGTTCAGGAAACATTTAACATGTTTTTCAGCGCCTTTGATGTGATAAGTGCTTTATCCTTTTATCAAAAGCTTAATTGCACTGTTTACTTTTGATCTTTGTTTCATCTCTGCCTTCCATCTGCTCTGCCTCTCTCCGGGAGGCCGCGAGCCGGGACGTGACGAAGGCAGCGGCGCTCCACACTTCCCTGCCTTCCCACTTACATTTCAGATTAGCAAAATAAATAGAAACCCTCCTGCTTCAGGGACGAAATCTTGAAGATTTCCCACCAAAAACGTGGGAGCTGGAGAGGTGGCAGGAGAAGGGGTCTTCCTTGAGGGTAGCCATCATGGGTACACTGGGATCTGCCACACAAGGACTCAGGACACCTGGGGCAACGTCCTTGAGCACAAGCAGGGTGTTCGCTGAGGGTGTGGGGGACCCAAGACCAAGTGCAAGGCAACAGACTTGCACAAACACCCCTGATCCAGCAGGAGCTGCAGTGCTTCATGTGCTGGTCTGGGAACAGACGTGGGGGACGCCTCCCAGCCCCTTCCCTCTTGACCCTGCTCTGTCTTTATCAACTCAGTATTCAGCTGCCCCTGGGGTCCACACTGTAGCTCCAAAGAGGCAGCTATGAGAAACTTTGACCTCTGGGCTGCCACTGAAGTCAGTGAAGTCTCAAGGCATCCGAGGCAAAAACGCCAGGGAGCAGCAGGAGAGAGAGCTGCATTTAGGACGAGGCTGAAGATACTTCCACAGGCTCATCCTGCCGGAGCGTTCCCCGCTCTGCAAGTGCCAGGTGGAAAAACGGGCTCCTGCACTTTGGGTCACAGCTCCTCGTGCCTCCCTGACAGTCACCTTGGCCATGGTGACTGCAACAGGCAGCAGGACTCGGGCACCATGGGGACACATCAGAGGGAGGGGAGCATGAGGATCCACATGGAGCCATCCTGCCGATGGCGCAGGCTGCTGCACAGGCGTCCGGGGCACAAGGTCCAGGCTACAACCCCTGGAAGGTCCCTGTGGGGGGAGAAGCCAAGGGGAAGGAGGTCCCAGCCAGGTCCTGGACCCCTCCATCCTGCCCAAACACCTGTACTAAAGCTAGCGGGCTCGGCAGGGGCCTCACTGGCACCTGCTCCTTCTTTTACATTAATTTCAGTAATTTCCAAGCTATTCATCTCTGCAGGAAAAAAAAGAAGAAAAAAACCCTTAGGAAGATAATCATAACGACTTAAAATTCAGGCCTTTCTTTCTTTTGTAAGGAGGGAAGCAGAGAAAGGAGGAGGGAAGAGAAACTCGAGGGTTTCAGGAAACAAAAGGCAAACCTCTACAAAGTAATTGCTTCTATTTGTGAAGGCCATGGTTATACATGTTTTTTTCCAGCCAGAGTACCTGGCGTTAACAAACTCCTAATGTAGTTGATGCTGATGTAATTAGGAAACTGATAGCAGATGTAACTTTCTTTTCACCTTTTCAACATGCCATAAAACATTCAATTTACAGCCCATGGAGTTGTGAGATTGCACAAAACTCAAGCTGTCAATCCCAATAATGCTGGGAATGCTAAAATGAGCAATAAAACGAATCTACACAACTCAGCGACACAAAAGCATCACCAGGGATAAGAACTGAGCGGCTGCAAAGGTGGGAAAGAAAGCGTTTAACCACAATGTTCTCCAAACTGACAGTGCTTACACCCAGAAGCCAGCAGGCTCTCCTGCTTTTCCCAGTCACACCGTGCATTGGCTGAGGCACTTCTGCTCACATTCACATGAACGGAATTACAAGAAGAGTGGGAGAATTTAGGGACCTTGGGCTTGGGGTATCTAGTCAGACTTACATGAAAATTCTATTTCCTTTGATGCCACCTGGTTCTCACCTCTAAATGACCTCCCTTTCCAAATCACTCGCTCCACTCTGTCAGGTTCACTCACTACCCTCTCGCGTGGAGTTGCCTTTGGATGCTGAGATAGGAAAGAGGAAAGAAAAAACCTCTGCTCAACCTAAACCCCAAGAGTAAAGAGCTATCCCGAACAAAGGAAAGAAAACCAGGGCACAACACTTCCCAAAAGTGTCCTGGCAAA